CAGACAACAGTTATGCCTTTCACCTTGCAGCTACACTCCATCTCTGTGGTGATTTGAAGGAGTGTCTCCCATATGCTCAAATGTTTGAATACTTGGTCAGTCAGTGATGTTATTTTGGGAGGGTTGTGGGACCTTTAGGAGATGTGGTTGTGCTGGAGGAAGCTCTTCACTAAGGGTGGATTTTAAGAGCTCATAGCCTTGTCTCTCTTCCAGTGCTGTCTCTACTCCTATGAGTCATTGAAAATGTGAGTGCTTAGCTTTCTGTTCTGGTTGTTGACTCTGTCATGGTGTTTGACTCCTATCCCTCTTTCATCTATAAAATGTCTTGGTCATAGAGTTTTATCACAGAAACAGGAGAATAACTAACACAGAACTTGGTACCAGAGAGTGTGATGTTACTATGAAGAACCTGACCGTGTTGTTTTTAATTGAGGAATCTGAAGGACTTTGGAACTTTGGACAAGAAAAATTGCTGAATGCTGTAAGCAGAACTTCATGAACCATTCTAGTAGGAGTCTGGAAGAAAGCTGTGCTGAGGGCAACGTAATTCCACAGGAAGCAAGGACTTAAACAGCAACTAAGCTAGAGGTCATTCCTGTCATATTTGGTTGCCTTCACCCGAGGCTAATGAAAAGATAATAAAGGGAATTTCAAGAAAGCCTAATGTTGAATCTATGACTTGGTTATTACTGATAAGTTTTATGCAGATGTACAATAGAAAAGAGCAAGTGGGGCAGATAGAAATACAAAATGTACAGGGTGGAGAGAAAGAGAACACTAGGAGCTTCATGTTGCCACCAAGGTTATGCCCTGGAAGAGATGCTGCTATTGATAAGGAGATTATCACAATTACAGAGAGGCCTCCAGCTTGGTATTATAACAATGGATATAGTGACCTCAGGGCAAGAAACCCAAGGAGTTAAGCTTCCAGCTAGTGAAAGGAAACAACTTAAAGGGTTTTCTGTTCCTACAAAACCACAACAAATAAAAACTGTTGATAACGTGGATGAAGGGGACCAAGACCCATCCCAAGTACCTACAACTTGGTCTTTTAACAGTTTTGCTAATTTACTAAAAAGGTGATCACATACAATTTAACTACTGCAATGAGAATCACACATATAACAAGTAATTAGACAAATTAGGGGCTGAATAGATAGGTCAGCAGTTAAGAGCAATGGCTCTCTGGCTGCTCTGGCAGAGGACTGGGGTTCAGTTCCCAGTACCCACACAGTGGCTAACAACCATCTATAATTCTAGTTTTGGGTGGTCCAACACCATCTTCTGTCCTCCTCAGGCATTGCATGACATGACTGCACTTATATACATGCAGGTAAAATACTCACAGACATAAAATAGAAAGAAATAGAGGGCTGGAGAGATGGCCCAGCAGTTAAGAGCACTGGCTGCTCTTGCAGAAGACCCAGGTTCAAAGTTCCCACTACCCATATGGTGGCTGACAACCATCCATAACTCCAGTTCCAGGGGATCCAATACCCTCTTCTGACCTTGGCAGGCATTGCATGACACAGGTAGACTTACATATATGCAAACAGTACACTTATACACATAAAATAAAAACAACAAATAAAATACTTAAAAAATAAATAAAATAAAAAATAAATTAGACAAATTAAATGAATGGGAAAACTCTAAAAAGGCACAAGCAATTCAAATTGACTCAAGAAGAAACAATCAGAATAGACCCACAATAAAGGAATAGATTCAATGGAAAAATTTTTAATAACTACTCATAAAAAAGTCAAGAATGGTTTTGGCAAAGAATTCTATCAAACATTTAAAGATGAATTAATGCCATTTATTGACAAACTCTTCCTAGAAACAGAAGGCAGATTTCTTTCTTACTCATTTTATGAAGACAGTTATCCTGATACCAAAATGAGACAAAGATGAGAATAAAACCATTGACCAATATTTATTATGAATATGTATTCAAAACAGTAAAATGCTGGGACACTGACTCTGGCCATATAAAAAGAATTCTATACCTTGACTGTTCTAGTTTCCTTTCTGTTGCTGGAATAACCCACTCTGACTAAAATCAACTTGGAAAGGAAAAGGTTTATTTGGCTTATACTTCCAAGTCTGAATCCATTATTGAGGGAAGTCAGGGCAGGAACTGAAGAAAAAACATGGAGGAACACTGCTTGATGGCTGGTTCACGGTCCATGCTCAGCTAGCTTCTTACATGTCCCAGGACCAACTCCCTAGGGATGGTAGTGCTCACAGTGGGCCGGGCCCTCCTACATCAATTAGCAATTAAGACAATGCCCACAGATATGCCCACAGGCCAATCTAATCCAGGCAGTTCAACTGAGGTTCCTTCTCACATTCTAGTTTGTGGTAAGTTGACAATAAAAGCTAAGTAGTAAAATAACTAAGCAGGATTTATCCCAGGTATGCAAAATCAGTTCAACATCTAAAAGTTAATCGACATATCACCTGAAATCAACAAAATGGAAAAAACTTGTATGGTCATCTAGGTCAATGCAAAAAAGCATTCAATAAATTCCAATGTCATTTTAGGATAAAAGCACTCAATAAATGAGGACCAAAAGAAAATCTCCTCAACCTAAGAAAAGACGTGTCTAAAACCACAAGATACCACACTGAATGACATACTGGATGTTTCCTCCTCAGATTAGAAGACAAAGTTAAGCATTTCTTGTCACTTACCTTCAAAGTCAGAGGGCCTGCCTGCAACAATTAGGCAATGAGAGAAAGAGCTGGGCTTGGTGGCACATGCCTACAATCCCAGCTACTCAGGAGGATTGCAAGTTCAAGGCCAGGCTGGTCTACACAGTAAGTTCAAGGCCAGCTTGGCAAACTTAGTGAAACTTTGTCTAAAAATGAAGAGAAAAGAGGTCTGAGGATGTAGCTCAGTGGTAGAGTGCTTGCTTAGCATGCACAAGGCCCTGGGTTTCCCCACAGCACAAGGGGAGAAAAAGGAAAGAACAGATGTCTTTAGGAACAGAAGTACAAACACAATGAAACAGATACTACTTATCAATGATACTATTTATCAATAAAACCGATACTGTTTGTTGTGACTTTGTTGAAACACGAGGGAATTCAACAATAGGATTTTAGAAGGAATAGATCTTTAAAATCAATTCTGGGAAAAACAAAAACCCAAAGTATTCTAGTTCAACTTGGTCTGTTCTATCTCCTGACTTCTCTCCACCAAAAAATGAAGGGATGCTGAACTAATATCAAGAATTTGTTATTAAAATATTTTAGGCTCGGGGCTGGAGAGATGGCTCAGCTGTTAAGAGCACTGACTGCTCTTGCAGAGGACCTGGGTTCAATTCCCAGCACCCACATGGTGGCTACAAACCATCCTTAACTCCAGTTCCAGAGGAATCCAAAGCCCTCTTCTGACCTCCGCAGCATTGCATGACATGGATGCACTCACACACACACACAGGCAATACACTCATACACATAAAATAAAAATTAAATAAAATTATTAAAAAAAAGAAGACTCGTCCATTTATTTAAAAAAATATTTTAGGCTCAATATATATAACTGAAAAGAAAGAATGTCACTGCTTTTTCTAGATCTGAAGACAGACGATGACAGATGGACAGAACAGTTTGAATCCGAGGCCTAGTGCCTTTCTGTGTGTATCATTCTCTGTTGTTCAGCAGCATCTGTTATGGTCTGAACATGAAATGCCCCCAAAGGATTATGTGCTGAAGGCTTAGTACTCAGGGGGTGAGACTATTTTGAGCTATAGTGGAAATTTTAGTAGGTGAGGCCTGGTTGGAGGAAGTAGCTCACCTTTCCATTTTGTCTTTTTCTTTCCACTTCCTGGCTATCATGAAATCTCCTGTGTTAGATTATAATTTTCTTTGGTCCACTTTGGATAGCTCATCCATGACACCTAAAATGGTCTCTTACTAGGGACCCAATAAACATATGTATACTTTGAAGGCTGATACAGCTTTAATCACCTACATATGGATGATCTCTTTTTTTAAAAAAACATTGTATTTATTATTTTTATTTCATGTGTATTATCTACATGTATGTAAGTGCACCCATGTTGTGCAGTGCCTGCAGAGGTCAGAAGAGGGTGGTGGATCCCCTGGAACTGGTTGTTAGCCACCATGTGGGTGCTGGGACTTTAATTTGGGTCTTCTGCAAGAACAGCCAGTGCTCTTACAACTGAGTCATCTCTCTAGTCCCTGATGATTTCTTTTGTATACCACAGGTACCAAGACAGAGGGTAAGAGAGCTGCTCCTTGCCCACAACAAATCCTGACCAAGCTCTTACAAAGTATAAGAGATTATAGGAGGGGTGCTTGAGTCTACTTCCTCCTGCTATAGTTGGGATCTGAGATGCCATGTGTTAAAGGCCTGGTTTCTAGCTGAAGGTGCTTATGAGTGGTAGAGTCTTTAGGAAGTAGGGCCCAGTGGGAGGAAATTAGTCACTGGGCATATGTCCTCAGAGGAGACATTAGAATCCTTACTCTTTATTTCTTTCTCTTTGTCATAAAATGAACAGGCTTCCTCCACCATGTACTCCTACCATAATGTGCTTTGTGACCACAAGTTAAAAGCAGTAGACAAGTGACTGTAGACTGAAACCCCTGAAATCATGAACCAAAATAAACCTTTCCTTCTTTAAAGTTGATTATCTTGAGTATTTTATCACAGTGATAGGAAGCTGACTAGCACACTTCCTTAGGCAGCACATAAATAAAATTAACTTACTTCACATAGGTTCAGTAAGTTAACTGATTTTTAAAGAAGTCTTGAAATGTACCCCAAGTCAGACAGATATACTTTCCAGAAATACACTAATTTGAATTACATATGCTATTGTTTTTAGAGTCAGAAGACTACTCAAACTATAAATGTCAAACACTGGTAACTATTATTGTGTTCATCATTATGATTCAGTAAAGGAATTCATTTTAGAAAATGATCAAAGAAAGCAACAGAAGTGAATACCCGCCCTCACCCGACTGACCTGCGCGACATTGCCTACGATGACACTGTCAATGGTTTCAGGTGGGACTTTACCAGCAGAGAGGGCAGCCCTGGCAGCAAATTCAGTTAAGTCAGTAGCAGAGAAATCCTTGAGAAGACCCCCGTAAGCTCCAAAGGGTGTTCGCTTAGCAGCAACAATAAACACACCTGATGCAATGAGGAAATATTTGTAAACAGTCACAGATTAGTTAGCGTCCCTAACATGTTGTAAGTAATCTTACTGTGGAAATTCATGGTAAAATACAATTTTCAGTTACTGAAGATCTTCATCATACCAAAATGTACAGAATGAGTCACACCCACAGAAACAGGAATATTCAAGACTCAGTTTGAATAATACCTACAAGTTCCTGCACTGCATGCTGTAGGTAAGTCCACCCCCCTTGGACAGCCTTCTTCCCTTGTTTACAATGCTAAACACTGCTACTTCTATGTGATAAATCAATCTCCAAACTAGAAGCCCCCTACAAGATCCTTTAGGGTTGTCTGAGGTTAATGACCCACCTCATAAGAACTTCCTCAGGAACATTTCTGCCAAAAGGTCCTAACTTCTGCTAGGAAATTTTCAGTAAGAAGGAATACCCAGCCCCCACCCCCTCCGCCATGAGGAAGTATGCCATGGATCACAACAAAAGCTAAGGATTTTTCCCCATACTAAGCTGCCTTGGCTTACCAAGTCTACCATCAACCAACCTTGGTTCTAACCAAATGCATCCTATATAGATAGACATACAGCTTCTAGAATCTATGCTACCTTGACTTTGCCACAGCTTCTGGAGTCACAGACTCCAATTACAAGCTCCAAAAACCTTGATCTATCATCTTTTTATTTATTGCCTTTTATCCTTGGAATAAAACTGGCAAACTTTTACATGTGAAGTCCATCTGAAGTTGGCTAATCTAAGAAATTCTCCAGATCTAATGGTTCTTTTCCCAGGTATATAATAGCATTTTTGCAATACTTCCTTAGTTGATGTTAACTCACATTGCTTTCTGCATACCAAGCATTTCATCTAACCACAAATAAGGGATACAGGGGAATTACCTACGCATTTATTAATATAAGATTATAAATTTGCAGCATTACTATCAGTTAAATTGGTGTTCTTACACACATAATAAAATCATTCCTTTCTAAGATCCCTACTACCACTTGCCAAAATCCTTCTGATAAGCTTATACCTTTGATGAGATGAATGGCTGTTGGAGGACTACAACCTTAGCCCTGCTGCTAAGGTTGTAGTCCTCCATGTCCAGATAGCTCTAAGGGGCTCGGCGCTATATGGAAGGGCTCCCTTTCTCAGTGGGGGGCCTCCTGCTCTCTGCCTGACTTACCTGGAAAGTGCCACCAAGCACGGATGCCTGACCTTATTTGGAACATGACCTTTGGCATAGTTACTAGCAATAAAACTGCCCCCAGGTTTTTTCTATGTAATTAGGCATTGCCCTATAGTTGGATGATAGGATCCCCTTACCACATGTAAATAAAGCATACTATGAGCACCTATCAGCTGAAGCTTTGGCTGCTGCCTCCACACTATATTTTCCCTGACCCCCACTGAATAAACAGAGCTGTATCACTGAATCTGACTCCCCGGAAAGTCTTTTCCGTCGTCGTGCTCACTGGCCATCCTGAACCCGTTCATCGCTTCTGCTCCCTCTGTCCTCGTGGATCGGTAGCCAATGGCCCTCGAGGGGAGGGAGAGACCCACAAACGGGAACCACCAGTGTTGTACAGTGCAAAACCTGTACAAGAGTTGTAGAAGTTCCATCACACTGACAGTCATTAGGTACCTACCAAGTACTAGACAGCCCAGTATTTTCTGCACAGCACCTAATCTTCCACAAAACTATCAGAGGTAATAGTATAATAATATGCAAGGGCAGATGCTGGGCAATGGGCTTCATGTCAGCACCTATGCGTACCCTAACTATTGTCCCCAAACAATTTGGATTGAAATTTCCACATCTGACTAAGAACGTAAGACAAAACACAGTGGTGCATGCCTACAATTTCAGGCCTAGAGAAGGCTGAGGCAGGGGAATGTAAGTTTAAGGCCAGATTGGACTACATACTGAGAGCTTACCCCCCCGCCCCCCACCAAATGAAGGAATTATGAAATTTTTTGTAATGAGTTTATATAAAATACTGACCTATAATTAAGACTATTAAAGCATTATACCACTGTTAGTACCTAAGTTTAAACAATGTATGTTTCTGTCTCTTACACAGAACAAACTCACTCTAGTTTAAAATTTTTCAGTCTCTTTTTATTCCTACTTTGAGGAACTTAGTCTAAAAGAATGTGGAGGAATCACGTGTAACTATAATTTAAGATAGATCCACTCAGTTCTTTTCAAACAATATTCAGATACTTGTAAAAGGCCATCAGGAGTAGTTTGTTCTGACAGCTGGGCCCCTCTGAGCTGCCATGCCTTCCTTCTTACTTAACAGTCTGCCTACTTTTATTATTCTTATTTTTTAAATGTGTCCGTGTGCTGGCATGTTTGTGTGTGCACATGTGTATAGAGGCCATTCAACTTTCTAAGATAGGGTTTCTCACTTGTACCCAGAACTTGCTGATTCATCAAAACTGGCCAGTGAGCCCCAGGGATCTTCTGTCTTCACTTCCTCAGTACTTAGATTACAAGGGCACATCACCAGGCTTGGGTTTTTGAGGTGGATTCTGGAGTTAAACTCAGGGCCTCCTGCTTGCACAGCAAGTACTTTATGACTGAACCATCTCACCAGTCCCTCAGTCAATTTTTACATCAGTGTTTGCTTTCCTTTTCTTTACCTTTTGATGTTGTCTTCCTAATTTCATCAGCTCTAACTCTGGTTGTGGCATTAGGATGCTCCCATCTGACCAACCCTCCCATAGATAACAACGAAGCACTCTGGACGTGATAAAAAGAACTACCTGAAGGTTTCAGAAAAGAAATAAATCTAGACAGACATGCAGAAAAGCTGATACACAGAGGAAAGGAACAGCAGAGAGCAAACATCTCAGTTATTTAGAACATTTAATATGAAGGCTGGCAATCCATCTTGTATGGAATGAACTGACTTAGAGATTCACAGTCATAGTGAGAACCAAGTCCAAGGCACCCACAGTCACTGGAAAGTGGGTAGTGGAAGAAAGAGGAACACCAGAGGACACATTCAAATGTTACAAAGGAGTACTGCAGAAACAGTTAATCCTTACACTAACCAACCAACCAACCAACCAACCAACCAACCAACCAACCAACACCCCAGGCACTGTATACTCCAAGTATGCTTAGGGATATTAAGGAAAAGCTAGTGTAACCATCCTAGTGTGGCAGGAAAGTGCAGGAAGAGAAAGAGAAAGAGACAGAGAGACAGAGGGAGTGGAAGAGAGAGAGAGAGAGAGAGAGAGAGAGAGAGAGAGAGATATTGAGATTAACATGCAAAACAAACCAATAATTGAGAGAAAAGGACATGAAACCCCTGACCAAGGGCTACATGAAACCTCTGACCAAGGGTTACATGTAAGGGATAGAACATGTGCAAGAAAAGTCCACAACCCTAACTGTAAAAGGCAGGCACCATGTAAATAGCCCAGAAAAGGTCAGGACTCTCATGGCCCAATGCTATTGGGCTTTTAAACTTTCCCAGCTTTCTGGTTCAATTCCAATCTTGGGAATGCCTTTCTCCTTTAACAAATAGTTTCTATTTCTGCTACTTCCCATGTAGTAGAATTGGTCCCTGGTCCAATTCTTTGTTCCCAGACACAAGAACTTGGAAATCCCAGCAGGTGCTCTCTGGACTATGATCCATTGTAACAGTGACAAGTAGAAAGATACTCAAAAGAGAGAAACATTGAGCTTAATGGGTAAAGCTCTTGCCATACAGGCCTGATGACCTAAGTTCGTTCCCTAGAACCCACACAAAGGTGGAAGGAGAGAACTGACTACACAAAGTTGTCCGCTGACTTCCTTGTGTGCGTGAGCACACAGCCACCCCATCATAAAAATTAATAGAGACATTTGTGCCTCTCCCTTTCACTATCAGACTATTAAAATGACAGGACACCCCCCCCCCCCCCCCAAAGAATTGGGATTTCTCCAGGAGTCTCATGGTTGAAGCCTGGTATCAACCAGAGGAGGAACCTGTCTCCCAGAAAGAGATTTTACACAGTTCTGACTAGCTTATCAAACCACCTTGCAGGAAAGACTGGTGCCAGACCCAATGAAGAGTCATTGATAGTCAGGACCACACCTCGACCAGGACTTGCTCTCTGTTTAAACATTGAATAAATCTCTTTTCAGTATAATTATCTCTTAAATTAGCCTACTGCAGATTGGTGACCAGCCTAGCTTATTAGGGCTGCCAGGGCCCAGGCTTTGACCCTAACAACTCTGGTGACAATAGTAAAAGATATGATTTTTTTTTTTTTCTTTTTGGGTCTTTTTGAGACAGGGTTTCCCTGTAGCCCTAGCTGGCCTGGAACTTGCTATGTAGCTGAGTCTGGTCTTGATCTCATAGAGATCCACCTGCCTCTGCCTCTTGAGTGCTAGGATTAAAGGCCACCATGCCCAGCTTGAAGATATGACATTTTGGTAAAGAAACAGAAATCAGGGCCGGAGAGATGGCTCAGCAGTTAAGAGAACTGGCTGTTCTTACAGAGGACCTGGGTTCAATTCCCAGCACCCACAGGTGGCTAACAACTATCTGTAACTCCAGTTCCAGGGGATCCAAATTCCAGGGTATCCAATGCCCTCTTCTGACCTCTATGGCCATTGTATGACACAGGTGAACTTACATATACACAGGCAATACACTCATACACATTAAAAAAAAAAAAAAAAAAAAAAGAAAGAAATAGAAACCATAAAACACTACCAAATTTTAAAACTTAAAAATAAAATATATATATTTTTTTGGTCTTTTTGAGGTAGGGTTTTACTGGATGAGTTTAAAAGCAGGCTAGAAATAAAAGGAGAAAAATTCAGTGACTTTGAAATTGATAAACAATACTATCCAATCTGAAGAGCAGGGAGGAAAGTGGATTCAAAAAGTAAGGGCAGACCCACATGGCCTGACAAAGGAGTAAAGGACAGGTCACCAGAGACAGGACAGTCTTCCCAAAAGAATCTAGACACAGACTTTACGTTTCTCACAAAATTAAAAAATGGATCATAGGGGGCTGGAGAGATGGCTCAGCGGTTAAGAACACTGGCTGTTCTTGCAGAAGATCCAGGTTTGAATCCCAGCACCCACATGGCAGCTAACAACTGTCTGAAACTCCAGTCCCAGGGGATCTGACGGCTTCTTCTGTCCTCCGTGGGCATTGCACAACACAGGTGCACTTACCTTCGTGGAGACAATACATACATACACATAAAATAAAAATAATAAATAAAATATTTTAAAAAATGGATCATAGACAAAGATGCAAAACTATAATTCCTAATATAGAAAAAAATGTGACTTTGGGTTTGATTATAATTTTTTAAATACTAAAGGCATAATCCATGAGAGTTGAACCTCATTAAAAACTCAGATTTGTCAGGTGTGGTAGTGTACTCCTTTAATCCCAGCTTCAGGAGGCAGAGGCAGGTGGATTTCTTGTGAGTTTGAGGCCAGTCTAATCTACACAGTGAGTTCCAGGCCAGCCAGCGCTACATAGTGAGACTCAGTCTCAAAAAAACAAACAAAAACCTTGTATTCTTCAAAAGATACTGTGCAGATAATGAAAAGACAAACCGGAGACTGAAAATGCAGGTGAAGAACTGGGACTTAGACCTTGTAAAGCTCAGCAATAAAGGGAAATATGAAAATGAACTCAGTTTAAAACTGGGTAAAAATCTGAACAAACATTTCATCACGAAAGAGACACAGATAGCACATAACCACATTTAAAAAAGTGTTTAACACTGGTGTCATTAAGAAATGCAAATTGAAACAATAGGTTACCACCACACAACTATTAGAAAGCCTAAAATCCAAAACACTAATACCATCAAATACAATCAAATGTTACCAGTGTATGGCAGTGAAGGTAGTTTAGCAGTTTCATACACAAGCAAACATATTCTAATCATCCAATGAACTGATCCAGCAATTGTGTGCCTTTGTGTTTCCCCCAGTGGTTTGAAAACTACACACATGGATGTCAAAACACAGAAGAAACTAAGATGTCCTTCAAAATTCAAATGAAGCATGGTCTATGCAAAGGAGTGTTTTTCAGTGATAAAAGAAGGAATCTTTTTGTACACATTGCTAAGTGAAAGACGTCAGTCTGAAAAAGCCACATATTGTATGATTCTTTTTACATATCTGGAAAGGCAAAGCAATGGACACAATAAAAGAGGAGTGCTTGTAAAGGGCACAGAGACACAGGTGACTAGGTGGGACATGTGGTTTTTAGGGCAGAAAAATGACCCTGTATGATGCTGGTGATATATGTCATTTATACATTGGTCAAAACTAATAGAACTATACCACATAGAGTGTGGACCCTGATGTACATTCTGGAAGTCAGTAAAAAATGATGTGTCAATATTGGCTAATCAATTGCAATGATGTACCACACTAATGATGTTAATAATTGTGGGAACTGCCATATGGTTATGCTTTGTGTTTTCTGCTCAATTTTTCTGTAAACTGAAAATCATTCAACAAAACTCTATTGGGAAAAACGTCAGTGGGGAAACAGAGGTATAAGTTTAAGGGCTTACGGCAGCTATGGTATCATAAAAAGGAAAGAATTGGGAGAAAAAAATGATGTGATAAAACAGCAAATGAAAATTTTCCAAATTTAATAAAAGATTCAAATTTATAGTTTGAAACGTAGTGAAGCCCAAATAGAACACACATAGCACACACTCCTTGCCTCATACCTTGGCACATCATAGTAAAACTTCTGAAATAAAAAAACAAGGGGAACTTAATTTTTTATGATGTGTATATGTATCTCTTTTTTAAAAAATCTTATTATTTCTATTTTATGAGTATGCGTGTATTGCCTGCATGTAGGTAAGTGCATCCATGTTGTGCAATGCCCACGGAGGTAAGAAGAGGCTGTCGGATCCCCTGGGACTGGAGTTACAGAGAGCTGTTAGCTGCCATGTGGGTGCTGGGATTCGAACCCGGGTCTTCTGCAAGAACAACCAGTGTTCTTAACCACTGAGCCATCTCTCCAGCCCTGTGTGTATAGCTCTTTATGAGTAGTGTACATGAGTGTAGTGCCCACAGAGGCCAAAGAGGGAGTCAGATCTCGAGCTGTGAGCTGTCTGATGTGGGTCCTCTGGAAGGGCAGAACACACTCTATGCTCTTAACCACTGATCTATCTCTCCAATCCCCTCAGGAATTTCAAACATTGAGAAAAAATTACATATTGTATACATGGAAAAGATTGGAATAAGCATGGATGAGCTTGCAGAAACAATGGAGCTAATTTCATGTTTTTCCACCAAGTCCCTTTCAGGACAGTATCTTTCCTACATGCCATAATCCATGAAAATACTTGTGAAGGGCAGTGCTAGTGACGAAATCTCTTTAAAAAAATGGTTATGTGTGTGATTTTAGAAATAACGTGGAGGCTGGTGGTGGCACATCCCTTTAATCCCAGCACTCAGGAGGCAGAAGCAGGCAAATCTCTGTGGAAATCCTGGCCAGCCTGGTCTACATAGCAAGTTCTAGGCCAGCTGGGGCTACAGGGAGACCCTATCTCAAATAAATAAATTAATTAAACAATGTGGTATGGGCAGATACAAAGATGAGACCTCACAGGTTTTTTGTTATTTAATAAATGTTTTCACTATCATACCAGTATGTGATCTGATGCCATTTATATGGCTATTAAAAGGTCTAGAAAATCTTTAGGATCAAATTAAAATTGAAAACTCTGAAAATTGAGATGCTAAAGACTTCTAAAACTTAAGACAGGAAAGAGACATTAATCTGGAGAACAGGGAGTCAGAAACACCCAGAAATGCCCTGGGCAAGGTGTGCTCACTGAACAGCACAGGAAAGCCACCACTAAGGAAGACATGAACTCTGCTGACCTCCCTGGGAACATTGTTACATAAATACTCATTTCATAAGAGCAACTATGGAAAACCACCAAGGGAAATTAAGAAACACTGCTCTCCATTTGTTTCAGGAGTCATTTAGCAGCCCTGCCTGTAGCCCTTGAGGGGATACTAGACAAGAACATTCCAAACAAAGCTCATAAGCCTTAGAACTCATTTAAGGTGAAAACCTCCAGCCAAGCACGGCCTGGGTGCTAATGACAATGTTTTCTACTACTGATTATATTCCATTCTTATGTGTCCTTTTCCTTGCAGTATTCAATCACAATCACGTTCTTCAACACTACCAGTCCCAGGGACAGCTGGTATGCAACTTGAGGGACACTCTTTGTCACTGATGAGGTGAAGTGGCCCACAACAATCACCATTTGAAACTCAAGGCTGGGGTTCTTTCTCATCACTGCCACTACATAGTTGTGCTACAACAAAAATACCTTTCTGGATATTAGTGTCCTAATCACAAGACAGGGAAAATGGAAAAACGTAACCACCACCTCTAACACACACCGAACTAAAAATGTTGTATTTCCTTAATACAGGTGTTGCTGTACAGGTTTTTCTTAATGGGTATGTTGTTTTCATTAAATTGTCAAAGGAATCTGTATTATAGGAAAAGGGTAATGATCACTGACAAAATACCAACAAGATGAATCAATAAATATATTGTTGTTTTTTTTTTAATTTTAAAGATGGTGCACTAGCACTGGAAAATGTATTAAATTCAGAGATGGCCATGGGACTGGCACATGAAACCCACATTGTAGGAAAACGCATATGCTGCATTTTATTCCAGAATACCCATTTCTTACTTGATTCAATCACATGCCATTTTGACTCTTCCGAATTCCAGATCCCACTAACCAGTGCCTACCTGACATCTTATTTAGGCACTTCACAGGCACCCAAAACTTCACCTAAAATGGAATCTTTAACCTTTTGAAATCTATTCCTTCTTCAGTTTTTCTCAAGTGATAAGAAATTCCCCAAGTAGGAAACATTTAGTCATTCCTGACAATTCCTTCCTTATGTACCTACCAGAGTCAATCTATCGCTGCTGAGCTATCCCTCTCTCTAGCTCATAGGCCCAGCACTGTCAAAGTCATCTTTTGCTCTTGCCTAAGCAGCCCGGCAGCCCGGAGGATATCAGGCCCAGAGTAGAGGTCAGACGGTGCCCTTCCCCTGCTTTAAATACTTGCATTGCCTTCCACTGACGTTACAAGAAAACTCCTTCACAGAGCCCACAGGTCTTTGAACCACCAAAATGGTTTAGAACAAGTCTTTTCCTACCTCGGGGCTTTGATATGTGCTGTTCCACCTGCCTGTTCAACCGAGACTTGCGTGTTTAAGTTAAAATTCCATTTACCATAATCACTTCCTATAAAAAAGGAACGCGCAACTTCTTACCCTGGAAGTTAACTACTGAGGGCCTGCACTTGCCTGCAGTCGCTCAAACTAAAGGAATGAAGGGAAGGGCAAAGTAGAACTTCCCTCAGAGCTCCACCAAGTGTATTGGGGCATCAGGGCACCCTAGTGGGAATTTCCCGGAGCCCCCCGGGGAACATTATCCTCCCCGCCCACGTGCGATCGAGACCAGGCCGCAGAGCTTCGGTGTGCACCTGCACTGCCCCCGACCGCCTCGCGCTCACCGCACCACCCCATTTTCCCGGAGTCAAGCGTGAAATCACTATTAGGAGAGTGACCTCCAAGGTCAGGTGCAAAGCCAGCAGCCCTGGTGTCCAACGTATGCACTGGACACTGCACTGAACGCTGTCGCCAGCGCCTTCCAGAAGCGTTTCCTCCTTAATGCATGCAGTTTACACCCCATCCCAACGCCGAGAGGCAGGGTGCACTGCACCCCATGCGTCGGTCTGCAGGGCGAGCCCCGAAGCGGAGCCTGGCCCACGGGTCCACCCTGGGGCGCAGGGCCACTCACCTCGCAGCAGCGCCATAACGAAATCCCGCAGTCCTCCGGCTTTCTGGGCGACACCTCGCTGCCAACCCCAGCCAGGCCTTAAGGATGTGGGCGGTGCTCCGCGAAGCCACGCCCCTGCCCTTTCCCCTAATTCCCGAGCTTCCGCTCCCCGGCCACCAGGTTCAAAGCTACAATTCCGCCCCGCGCACTGGGCTGCCTCCCCTCCCACCCCTCCGGTGCCGCAGCGTACCCGAGGCTGCGCGATAAGGACCTCAGCCCCACAACCCAGGGGGCGGGCCTAGGAGCAGGGGCGGGGCCTAGAACAGGGGGCGGGGCCTGAGGGCCAGGGAATGAAGCGGAGGGCTAGGGGGCGGGTCCGGAGGGCCAGGAGGCTGGACAGGTGGGCGGTGGCTTTGGCTGCACCCGCGCCTGCGCAGACCGTTGGCGGAGGCCTAGGCTTGGGTTCCACTGGGTGTAGCCAGGGTGGTTCAAGAAGGGGTTCAAGAAGTAATAGAGCAGGGCGCTCCTGAGTCCCCGATGCAGCCCCGAGTGATCCCGCAGTATTTTCCTTATATGATCAGGCACCACGTGGCTGGCGCTGCCTGAGAGGATTATGAAAATGTGTCAGGTGAAGTGGGGCCAGGGGACCTGGAGCGGGGAGATGAGAGAGGGACGGAGAGGGAGATGAGGCTGGAGGGAGGTTTAGGGATACCCTTGCTGCCAACTGTGAGCCCTGCCGATGATGACTTGACCACTGCGCAATCTGAGTTCTGGGAACCAGGTGATGGAGTGTGCTGAGAAACTGAGGCTGGGCGAGCAGGAGGCGGCCTGGATGCAGAGGTAGCGATCTCTGTCGGGTGCACCTCGGCAGCTAAACTGCTGGGGCGGGATTCGACAGCATGGGAATAGGACGTGTGATACTGTTGCTAAGGCCTTTAGAACACGGCTCTTTAAATGGCCCTCTTAAAGTGCTGGCTGGTTGGTTTTTGCTTTTGTTTCTTGAGACAGGGTCTCACTGTAGAACCCTAATTGCCCTGGAACTCACCATGTAGATCAGGCTGGCTCCAACTCAGAAATCCGCCTGCCTCTGCTAAGTGCTGGGATTAAAGGCGTGTGCCATAATGCCTGGCCTGATGTTTTCTGATATTTTATGTATATGAGTGTACTACCTGCATGTGTGTAAGTGGTGCATCCTGTGACATGTCGCAGAAGAGGGCATTTCGGATCCCTTGGAACTGGAGTTACAGAGGATTTTTAGCCTCCTTGTGAGTCCTGGGAACTACAATCAGTGCTCTTAACTGCTGAGCCATCTCTCCAGCTCCATGATCTGAATTTAATCACAGCAAGACGACTCTAAAATCAGTTGGTATGTAGGAGACTGCCCTTTGTTTTTTGTAGATCTATACAAAAATGTTTAGGGGGTGCCCAGCACTGCGGAGGCAGAGGCAGGTGGATCTCTGAGTTCCAGGCCAGCCTGGTCTACATTGAGTTCCAGGCCAGCTGGGGCTCCTGGGAGACCTTGTGTCAAAAAAAAAAAAAAAAAAAAAAAAAAGATAAATTTTAAAAAATGTTTAGGGGTGAAAAATCATCACACCTGCAACTGAGGTGACTAAAAAAAAAAGGCGTACACAAACTGACAGAAGGAAATGGAATGTGGCAAAAATGTTACCAATTGAGGAATCAAAAGGAAAAGTTAATGGTTATATATTATTCTGTTTCCATCTCTTTTGGAGACTTTAGATTCTCCAAAATAAAATTGGGGAGGAAAAGTATCCTTCACCTAAACTAAAAAATTACTCGAAACAAAGTATTCTCTAAAATATTCACATGGATCCTTTAGGGTTTTCCTGATAAGGTGTTAAAAGATAAGCCTAGCATTGCACAACATGGGGGCACTCACATACATGCAGGCAATACACTCATACACATAAAATTTTAAAAAAAGTATAAAAAAAAAAGAGATAAGCCTAGCTCTGAGGAGAAACTGGAGGGGTGTATCCTTGGTCAGTCACTAGAGAAAAAGAGGAATGGGTCCTTAGGTTGGAATCTGAGTTCAGAGACTTTTCATGAATACATTATAAACATTACCATTATTTTTTATTTTTTGGTTTTTGAGACAGTGTCTCCCTGTATCCCCAGCTGTCCTGGAACTCACTATGTAGACCAGGCTGGCTTTGAACTCACAGAGATCCACCTGCCTCTGCCTCCCAAGTGCTGGGATTAAAGGTGTGCACCGCCACACCCAGCTACATCACCATTATTTTAAAAGTAGAAGTGAGGCCAAAGCTAGGGTCTGGTGCATATTAGGGTTGCCACTACCTCTGAGCTATACCTCCAGCCCACTGTGAGCATTTCATTTAAATACTAGGTGTTAGTGATGGATCTTGGAGAGCACCATCCATAGAGATACTGTAAGTTTTGGAAGGGTCGGGGATGGGAATTTTCACCAATTCCCAGGTGATTTTTGATGTGTGCTCTTACTATACAGATGTTTAGTTTCTGGGCTATTTTATCCCACTGATCAATTTTTCCAACTTTATGCCACTCCCACATATCTTAATATTCACCAGGGCAAGTTTTCCCATCTTCTCAAAGAGGCTTTTGCTATTACATATAAATTTCAGATTGAGCTTGTCAAATTTTCACAAGGTAGTGTTGAGATCTTGATCTTTAAATTGCAGGTGCAAGACAACATGGTGGAGTGGGGTCTGGTCACTCATGGCAATGATTTATTTTGTGCTAATATTTTTAAATTTTACAAGTTTGTTCACGAGCTCTAATAAAATTTTACCACTGACTTAATGCCATCTCTCCCATATGTTGAACATATGATTTGGTCTATCTCTGGACTCTGTTTCATTGATCTCTTAGTCTTTCTTATACTTGAACTACCTTGACTTTTATAGCTTTAAAGTAATTGTTCAGTAAACTGTGTTCTCTTCTAGTAAAAGTCCTCTCCTATCCCCAACTTTCAGATGGTCCTCTGCTGTTCTCTGACTATTGATGCATTTCTGATCTAGACCCCAGAATGAGGTTTCTCAAGAAATCATTAAAAACTAAGGCTGAAGAGATGGTTCAGTGTGTAAGAACACTTGCTATGCAAGCAGGAGGACCTGAGTTCAAATCCCCAGCACCCACAAAAAAGTTGGGTATATGTGTCTGTAACCCCAGCACTAGAGACAGAAACAGGTGGCAATTGAGAGCTGGCTGGGCACAGGCATGTATGAATCTGCATACAGAAACAGAGCTGGGGGGCAGGGAGGTGAATGCATCATTAGGAGCCTGGAGAAATGGCTCAACTTCTAAAAGTGTTTGCTACAAAATCATGAGGACCAGAGTTCAGTTTCCAACACCCACATAATAAGCCAGGTAACCCTGTAAATGCTGGTAATTGAGCTCCAAGGAGGGGCAGAGACAGGAGGATCATTGGGGCTTGCTGTCTTCCAGCCTAGCCTAGAAAATGTAAGCCCCAGGTTCAGGGATGAGACTGGTCTCTGGCAGAGGGTGATAGAGGACACCTGACATGCTCTTCTGACCCCACATGCATGGACACAGGTGCACACTCCCCAAATGTGCATACGTTCATCCAGACACATGCACACACAAATTTAAAATATATCATTAAAAATAAGCTTTTAGTCAATGCTTTTAGCAAAGCTGCAGCTTTGCATTTTGTTTAGATTTGGCACACCACTTTATTTATTCAAAAGTATTTATTTCCACAAATTTTATCCATAGCTGAATATCCAGTGACTATTACAAGCATTTTTTTCTATAAACAAAGATGTAGTTTACAGATTTGTCCAAAATGAAAAAAATATTTTTCAGTAGTATTTCTTCTGTCATGTTAGATTTACCCCTGAATATTTTATGAACTCCTTCAGAGAGGCAGTCCTTTATCTAAATGCCAGTTGATTCCAAAATGTTATATCCAAATCTGGATTATTCTGTTACAGTATGACTTCAGACAGTAGCTTAATTTCATCTGGTTGATTGCCTTTGTTAGAATTTAAGATTTTTTTTTTTGTAATTATTATGTGAGTGTGGGCACATGTATGCCATAGCTCACATGTGGAGGTCAGAAGACAACTTTTGGGAGTCAGTTCTCTCCTTCCACTGTGGGATCTGGGGATTGAACTCAGGTTGTCAGGCTTGCGTGGCAAGTGCTTTTACCTACTGAGCCATCTTGCTGGCCCAGAATTTTTTTTCAAAGGAAAAAAAAAATCTTTAGTATCCAATATTGTTTACAATAAGAAAAAAACCTTGTGTTTGTCATTGGTATTAACTTCTAATTTTCTACACTCCTTACTTCTGTTATTATGGCACTAATGTATAAAAAAGGAAATTATGGTTATCTGCCTCATGCAGCAAATTAACTTTAGAAACCACAGATATTCTGAGGAGAAACAAGGGTCACACTCCATGCTATCACATTTTAGTAAGCCATTTATTCACAATGGTCAAGTGTTCAGAAACAATTCAGTTTATGCAAAAGAAATGGATTTCAATCTGGTGCCATTATTCTTAAGCATGTTAGTGCTCTAATAGCTGAAGTAGCAGTAGATTTTTTGGGCCTCTATTCCCTAGGCTTCTAGTTTTCACAAAGCCATAAAATTTAGTCCTTAGAAAAACCAGGGGAAGCAACTTCTACTGACGTGCTCCATGAAAGGGGCCGGGGGCGGGGGGTCTACCATTGGGTCTAATCTGCTTCCAGAAGAGCCTACCCGGTACCATCCCTCTAACTGCAACTGGGATGGCCCAGGGAGAACGTGCATAGGTAATATGCTTGTCTGATTTACTGACAACTAATTTATAGTAAATATGCCCATTACTATAAGCAGGCAGATAAGCCCCATGTACTAATACTTAAAACACAAGTGTTTGATCTATGAATATTTGATTAGCCTTTAAAATGTTTGTTTCATAACTTAAGTCAGAATTCCACCAGGATGTTAAACTGAACATTGGAATTCTTCCCACAGCAACTTACTCAGGGAAATAATTGATAAGTCAGTTATTTCGGTAACTGCTAAAGGCACATAGTGAGAAAAATACCAGTGAAAATTAAAATATTAAAAAATAAAGATACTTAGTGAAGAATTCAAAATTGTCTTACATTAACTTATTTAAATTAAAATTCATCACTGATGCCATGAAGTTGGGAAGTGTTTAAAACTGACTTTAAAAAGAAGAGAACCCATTGCTGAGGGAGGCTCACGGGTACAGCGCTCTGGTAGTAGGCCTGAGGCTCTGAAAACACTAAGCGAAGATTAAAGTTTCTCAAAAAATGCTTTTTCAGCCTCCAACTGTGATGTTAAATAGGAAAGTTCTAAACATGCCGTCAATTACGGTATGTGTTAGACGTTTATACATTAAGTATTGTTCCAGTGAAATACCTTTACCATTTAAAAGAAAATGGAATCTATTTCTTAGGCTAGGGAGATTATTTATCCCCTCCCCCATTTACCCTAATTATCAAGGTTTTATTCAGTGAGCCTTTGGCACCTACTGACTTATCAACAACAGGAGAATGGTAACCCATAGTGATGGAGGGAGCGATGTTTTGTAAGGACAGAAAGCCATATCTGGAATTGCTGCTTCTTAAAAACGCTTATCACTTTAATAACAAAGAATTGTTGGTTTTCTTGAAGGTAAGGACAGTCTTTACACAAGTTGATTTTAAACACTAAAGTGCACCACAAAGCAAATTGTATTTCATAAACAACTTTAAAGAGGTAGCCATAGATCCAGTGGTTTTAAACTGGCTTTCCAAACAGCATTTGGGGTTAAAGGCATATTATGGATGTCAGGGCTGTAATTGAGAACACAGGAAGGTGCCCATGGAGAAACCCAAGAGAGGCTGGGATGTTTAATGTGGACACAGAGGGGATAATGCCGATGACAATCCATTTGCTGTCAAGAGTCTCAACCCAGGTGCTGGAACATGTTCTGGCCTCAGCAGATAAGGATGGCTGAGGATCAGACCTCTAAGAGCACAGGATTTTTAGGACTTGAATTGTGCTGTATTCCCAAGAGCCTTCTAAACAGAGTAGCTGAGAACATGATGGTGCTGTTCAGGGTTGTGTTCTAATGTGTAGAGAATTCTCAATGTAATATGAATATGAAAACTCTTGCATGATTTGATAACCATTTGTAACTGTCATAGGAACAGCATACTGTTAAGTATGAAAAGATAAATTTTAAAATGGATGGAAAAAATATGTAAGATTTTCTAGCTAAATGTTTGGAGTCAAAAAAGAAAAAAAAGGTCCTTGAAAACAAAGAGCAGTAAATTCCTAAGCCTGTTGTATTATTACTAAGTATTCTTTTAAATGTTTATTTCATAGCAGGTTACACTGCGTTTTATGTAGTAAGTCTGAAAATGACCTGAAAAGGGCAAGTTTGCCTAAGCTATTTTATTCTTTCAGAGAAGTAAATACCCCAAAAATCTTTCTCATAGTTGACATCTGTGACAGCAGTGTTTTTAGTGTAACTCTCCCACAAACCTGAGACTGTCAGGAGGACTTGAGCACATTAGGGTCTGGGTCTTCTCATTTTGCATTAGAAACAATATTCAAAATGTTTAGTCTGGAGGTCAGTTACACTTTTATCTCTTACCAGCTATTAGTGAATACATTTGGGAACTATCTCAGGAGGCCCAGGTCCATATTTTTGGCCTTAAAACATTTAACCACCAGCTAATCCACATCTCTTGTTTTTAGAAATGTTGTCTTTATGGTTATTAATATCATTGTTTGTTAAAAGACCTATGAAGGCAATTTTTAAAAATATCTTAATTTGGACACTGTCCAGTAATACACAAAGATCAAAACCAAGTGGCTTCCACGCTACAGAACGGGCACTTTTTACATGGCTCCTGAACTGCCTGGAGCTGTTCATTATGATGTGTCTTTGCTTAGACCGAAATCAAACCTTTAAAAATCTTCCAAATTTCGAGTGTTTTTATTCTGAGCAGCACATACAAAAAAAAAATCAATGGCCAAGGTGCGTCACTTTGCTTAGTTCAGTGCTCTCCACAGGCTCGCTAACTGGTTTGATCTACTTTTGGCAGATTTAAAAGATCCTGGATGTCACTCGACTGCATGTGCTTCCTTCTTGCTCTTGTTGCAAATATACATCCTCAGACTTCATTGAGGAACTCCAGATTGAGACATGCTGGGATGTGGATTGAGTCCATGGTCAGGGAAGATGGATTAAATGGAAACAAAACAGGAAACATGTGTTTGAAGTCTAACAGCAGTTGCTGAGGGTCATTCCTCTCTTGTAGCTGGGCCTGTGGAGGGATGAGATTGTTTAAGTACGTAGTATATTTGGAAACAGCCAGTTTAAGTTACTTCACAAAAGTGAGTTGGAATATAGCATGGAAAAATTTCTAAGATAACATGGGAGGAGTGTGGAGTCAGGAGAAGGTGAAATCACTATCTGTCCCTGAGGCATGTGCTGGAGAGGGGAGCCCTGGCTCAGGCTCTTGGAGAGGAGATGGTTAAGGTTCTCTTCATTTTCGTGTACTTTTAATGTTTCCATTAAAGAGACGCATCTCTTAGGGTGCAGTGGTTTGCCATGGTGGCATCAATTGGAATATTTAAAGGAACAAATACTCTTCCTTTTTTCCTATCAGAAGCCAGCTGTTTTAGGAAAAGTACAATAAAGAATTCAACAGCAGACTTGGGCAAGTAGAATGAAGAATCAGTGAACTAGAAGGTAATGTAGTTAAAGTGATCTGGTCTAAGAAAGAAAAATGAGTAAAAATGAATAGAGCCAGATGTGGCAGTATATACTTGGCAATCCTAACACTTGGGAAGCAGAGGTAGGAGGATCAGAAATTCAAGGTCAGCCTCAGCTACATAGCAAGTTTGAGGCCAACCTGGACTACATGAGGCCCTGACTCAAAACAAAACCAACAGAACTTGAAGGACCAGGAAGCAAAGTACCAGCATCTATACTGTAGAAGTCACAGAAGGAAATGGGGGAAAGGAGCAGGAAAGCATTTGGACAATGACTAAACAGGATTTCTATATGTATATCCAAGAACTTCAAGGAACTTCAAGCAGGATAAACTCACACATCAAGACATACAGTCAAACTGCCAAAACCCAAAGATAAGGCATCTTGATAAAACAAGAGAAAATGGCTTTGCCATAAAGTATCCTTAAATGAAATTAACAGTTTAATTTTCATTAGATGCCATGGAAATTAGGCAGTGGGATGTGTGCTGGATAGCTTTAGTAACAACTTGACACACCTGGATTGAGGGCGCCTCAATTCAGAAATTGCTTTCATTGGACTGGCAGGTGGCCATGTCCATGGGGTACCTTCTTGATTGCAGAGTGATGTGGGAGGGCCCAGCCCACTGTGGGTGGTGCCACCCCTGGGCAGGTGGGCCTGTGTTGCATAAGAAAGAAAGCTGAGAAGGGGCCTGGGAGCAAGCCAGTAAGCAGTGATCCTCCATGGCCTGTGCTCCAGCTCCTGCCTCCAGGTTCCTGCCCTGAGTTTCCTACCTTGGGCTCCCTGATGAACTGTGACCTGGGAGATCTAAGCTGAATAAACCCTTTCCTCCCCAAGTTGGTAGTGGTCAGCATGTTTTTGTCACAACAATGGAGAAACAAACTAGGACAGGATGACACAGATGAAAGAAAAAAAACAAATACAAGAGAATTCTACATCTGGCAAAATTTCCATCAAGAATGAAGGAAAAATTGAATAATTTCTGGAGAAGACATTTTGATAAGTTTCAACCCATCATGAACAATTGTAAATAGATATGCACCGAGGAACAGAGCTCCCCCACCCCTAATATATGAAGCCCAAATCGACAGAACTGAAAGGAGAACAAGCTTTCCATGAGCAGTTGGACACGTTAGTCTTCCACTTTTGATAATGGAGAGGACAAGACAACAGAAGCTGTAAATACCATTGTACACCAGTCAGTCCTAATAACCACACAGAACACACCACTTAACAAGAGCAGAACATGCTTATTGACATGGAAAATTCTCCAGGACAGACCACAGATTACACAAGTAGTAAATTTACAATTAAAACCACACAGAATATTCTTTTCTGACTATATTGCTACTGAATAGGACTAGAAACCAATAAAGGGAAACTAGAAAACCCACAATGATACTGAAATTAACACGTTCTTAAATAGCCAGTGGGCCAAAGAAATCACAGGGGAGCTTTGACTAGTGAAAAATGAAAGCGCAGCTGCATGGGCTGTGGAGAGAATAGTACCAAGATGTGTTTAAACTTGCAGATGTAGGCATTAAAACAAAAGAGACACTTCAAATTAAAATAACCTAACTAACTTTAGAGAACTTAAAAAACAAGAGTGAAGTAAACCCACAGCAAGCAGAAGACAAATACTGAAAATCATAGTGGCGATGAGGGGCACAGAACAGACGAATACAAAGAACCAATGAAATCCAAGTCGGTTCGATTAAATTTATAAAGCTTTGGCTTGACTGAGAAAATGGCAACTCAGAAATGAAATTATTATGAAAAATCAAGAAGTAATGATGTTAAAAAACAAAATCAATAAAGAGAGTACCACGAACAATTTTACACGAACTGGATAATCTAGACAAAATGGATAAAATCCCAATAACATGCAAACTACCAAAACTCACACAAGAAGAGGCAGTGTCCTTGTTTCCTAATAAATAAGGACATTGAATTAGTAATAATGAAATACCTCCCAACAAGGAAAAGTCCAGGACCAGAGAGCTACAGTGGTGAATTTTAACAAACAGACAAAATTAGCATTAGTTCTCAATGACAAAGACTTGAAGAGGAGGGAGCACTTCCTAACTAACCCTGGGAGATAAGGCCAGTAACACCAAAGACAGACAATGACCCTGTAAGAAAACATAAGTGAAATAAACCAGATCCCAAAGGGTAAACATTGTGATTCTAAATGGACAAATTCATAGATACAGAGAAGAGGGGAGGGGAGGGGAGGAGCAAGGGGAAATAGGAAATTACGCTCAAATGGGTAGAGTTTCTGTTCAGGAAGATAAAAAATTATGTGAATAAATAGTGATAGTAGTTATGGAGAATTGTGAATGTACTTAATACCACCTAATGAACACTGAAAAATGACTTGAATGGGAAAACTCTGCTATAATTTGGACCTGGAATGTCTCCCAAAGACCCACATGCTAAATGCTTGGTTCACCACCTTTTGTGCTACTGGGATGTAGTGGACACTTTAGGATAGAGGTTGATCATGAGGGTCATGCCCCTGAAGGGATATTGGGATCCTGAACCTTGCTGTCTCTATTTTGCTTCCAGAATGCTGAGGTGAGCAGCCTCGTTTGCCACACATTCCCATTGTTATGTTCTGCATGGTTACCAAAGTAACAAGGTTGAGTAACCATGAACTAAAATCTCTGAAATGAACCAAAATGAGCCCTTTCTCCATTTAAGTTGATAATATCAGGTATTTTGCCACAATACCAGAAAGTCAAATAACATAAATAATTACTTCTGTCCCCCAAAAGGGAAGGAAGGTAAAAAGTACTCATCTCAGAAGGTTGTGAAGATCAAGAGTCAAATGTGTGAACACTGCATCCAGTTGCTGGCATATGGCAAGCTCCATTTGTTACTGGTATTGGCTTTGCAATATAGGTTTTTGTTCTTTTGCTTGAGAATTAACCATTAACTTCTGAACCACAAACTCCAGTCAGGAGCTATACTTTAAACTAAGGTCACTGGACCCTAGGGGTATTGCCAAGGTTTGAAAAAAGTCAATAAATTCTGATTTCATGAAAACACAGCTCATGTAATACTAGCTTGACATATGAAAACTGTTGATTTTTCTTCTTTGGGAATTAGCGACAATATTTTGATAGGGTTTAACTCCCTAGAGAGTTTCATTATTTCCCTACTTTATAGGAGGGAAGACCAAGGGCTATTACCTGCTCAGTACCTACAGCAGTTGGCTTTTACAGCTAGGTCTAGCACTCAAGGCACCTCTGCTTCTCTTTGAGGCCAGTAAGTACATGGCAGCACTTTTAATAGGCTTCAGAAGGCAATGGGTTTGAGTGCAGGATTGTGAAATGGCTTCCCAGCAGCTCCAGAACTTGGAATTGCTCACATGTTGTTCAATTACCCAGATAATAGAAAGCATTGCTGAGACTTCCAGGTGTCAATCACAACGTACTCACATCTGAAGAACGGGACCAAAACTCTAAAGTCATTTAAAAGTTTGACAAAACAGTTGGCTATAATAGGGAGAGAAATTTAGAATAGTGGGTATAATAGGGAGAGTAGCTGAGAGGAAAGAAGGATATTTAGGAAGGAAAAAGCAACAAGCCTAACTAATTCAAAGTACCAAATGGTGTCTCTGTTGGGACTTGGCAGAGTGATCTCCGGGATTGCTGAAGGCACACACTCGACTTGGTCGCATTTGTTGCTGCAGACCAACAACCTGGCATATGGAAGTGTACATAAAATGTGGAGGAGCAGGAGGCTCTGGGGAAAAGCCCAATTACACCTCTGCAGTTCCTGTTATTTCTTGTCATTAGCTATATCCACAGGCTCTACTATACAAAGGCCTTGAAGAAATTGTAAAATATTTAGGGGAGAATGTGGAAATGGGACAAAAAGGAGATGCTAAATAATACCTGTATTTCAGTTTAACAGTACAAGGTACATACACATGTAATCATTAAATTAAAATTCTCAAGGTAAATCATGTCACAGAAATCCTCTTGTGAATTCTTTGGTGAGTTTAACAACTCTTCAAGCTTACATTCTAAAAGTTTTAATATTGAAATGTTTTAAGGCTATGTGAAATTGTGCGTATTCATGGGGCACTATGTGATGTTTCAGTACATCGAGGTTTGTGTCATTAAGCATCAGTATGTGCTGCATATAGCACCCAAGCCATGGCAGGCAAGCAAGCAGCCTGTGTTGTTGGTACACGGAAGCCAAACTCAGGAGGGCAAGAGTGACTGACTGCTCATCAGCTCGTGTGAACACTGTGCAGGGAAAGAAAAATAAAACTACAGCTGGCAAAATATTTTTTTTGACAGGATTGCTAGATAGTGAAACTGATTACTGGGGAAGACTTGGGTTTTGACTGTACATATTTTCAGACAGTATCTGACCCTTAGCCTATGTTCTCTGTGTCCTTAATCCATTAGGCCTTCAAGTCTGCTTGGCAGGTATTTGTCCACTTTGGACTGAATTCTGTTCTTGAAAACTATGCTCTTGCCAGTTTATGATCAGTTAAGGATGGTTCCCCTTGGTTGTGTCTCTCAGATATTCAAAATAAAGACTTTCTAAACTTGCACTTTTGCTTAAGTCACGTTTTAGCTCTCCGTGAAAATCCTTAATGGGTCAGGGTAAGGTAACTTGTGTCTCCTCTTCTGTCACCCAGTTCCTTCTCCTTTCAGGAGCTGGCTCTATCCTCATCCTAACCTCCACTGCCAATCAGCACCTCCCCTGCACTTTGATACCTCTGTTGTGTTGGGGGACTGCGTATATAATAGCCCTTGGCATTTCCCTATGCCCTTGAGACAGCTGTCTACCTTTAGTTTGACTTGGCATCTGATCCTTGATCTCTGGCTTCATCTGTACTCAAACATCAGGCTAAAGTTCACTTACTCTTTTGCACAGATTTTTTTCAGATATAGGGCACTTTTTTCTAAATCTCTAAAGCTCTTTGAAATCTCTAAATAAAATCCTAAGCATTTTCAAAGAACAGTTCAAAACCCACTTTCTCAAAGTTCTTTAACACCTATTTTAGCTCCATTTCCCCCCAGATTCTCCTCCTCTGATTGCTTCCCGCCATTCCCCCCATCCTTGTTTCATGCTGGCATCACTTCACTAGTCAAAGTACTGTGTCCCTCCAAAGTATTCCCCACGTGTAACTGCAGAAATGTGTCCCGTTTTTCAGAGTCATGATTTGAATACTGTCAGTAACTGGCATTCTCAAAGGCCACACACACTCAGTCCAAACCTCCTTGGGCCGAGCTTAAGGAAGCTCATGTTTTATTAAAACTTCACATCTTAATATACATCTAAATACTCATCTGCCTGATGTTTCCTTCCAAGAATATTCTTAAAGGCAAATATTGTAAGTCTCAGAAACAAAGTTTGAGTTTGACTTATATCCTTAGTTTCTTCAGTCTATTTGTGTGTGGATGGAGCTAATTTTCAGCTTTTTTGTTAATTCCATTTGGTGCCTTAACTCAGTAAGATGTTCCTGGCAAATGAAACACTCCTGTCCAAGAGCTAAGAGGCAAAGATAAAGTCCAGCGCTCTGTGTGTGTGTAATGTTATTTATGAATAAGGTTCATGTTTATTTAAGTAAAAAGCCTAAATATGTAAGGTCTTCTAGTACAAAGTGTAATCAGTATTAACAAAGAAGTTAAAACCAACATTTTTAATGTCTTTTATAGTGTTTGACTAGGAATTTATAAAACTGATTAATATTGGAAAACTCACCTGGATTGTTCGTATGAAGGATACTGTTACCCGTTCTTCAAATTCATTCAAGGGAGTATAAAGGTTTAAAATTTTGACAATCTGTTGGAATAAAAACAAAGTTTAGCACAGAGCTAAACAAACACAAGGCAATCTTTGCATTTTAACTCTATGACAGTGGTATTATACAAGAGTGTAACCTTCTTCAAGCTGGCCCCACAAGGCATGTGACACAGGCTGGGAGTTTTCATGCATGGCAGCTCCTTTGGACTTGAGCTCCTGTACTGTATCCATGTCCTGGAAGCCCACCCCGACCCTGTGCTTCATGACTTGTACAGAGTAAGAAGTTCAGAAAACGGTTTCATGGAACCCCCAGCCTCTTTTCTGCTGGTAACTTAAAGGTTTCTTCCAAAGACTACTGGGGATTTTATCATACTACCCTACTTAACTACCTAAGTACCCTTATACCTTTTCCTTAAGAAAATTCATTTCCAAGTAAGATTTTTCCTCTTAAACAGGGCAGTTTTTTTTGTCTACCTAGTAATTATTTGGTGGAAGTATCTTGCCCATGTGTAAGGCCAGCTGCATTCAAGAAATAAACTCACCAAAGTAAAACATATTTAAATGGGGTTGTGTGGGGGATGGAAAACCGCCAGTAACTTTGCAAAAGAAGGCAGTTTTCTCATGAATTTGCTAGCTCATTTTTAGTAGACAGTAGAGGAGGTAAGAAAAGTATGTTCAATTTGCTGCTCTGAGTTTGGAGTTGGCTGCTTTTAGGTGTTGGATGGGAAGAGGATGCATTTGATTGGGAGAGTCTGGTTTCCTTTTGCTGGTTTCTGTGGCCCATTTCCAAGTAGCCATGATCAAAGCCAAGAGATTTATCCTTTAAAGACTAGTAACATGACTCTAACCAAATTATAGTGTAAGTATAATTTTGGAGAGGAATGAATACTTAAGTACTTCTAGATTTTTAAGGACTTCATTAAAATGATGCAATTGGAATTACAAATTAAAATATGGTCATTAAAACTTCAGTTGTGAAGAAAATATAATTATAAACAAAGCAAATAGAACCTAATGCTAACAATTTCAAAAAAAAAATTAAATTTCCAGAATTCATTGTTTTAAAAAGTTGTTACATGGAGCCAGTGAGATGACTCAGTGGGTAAAAGTGCTTAGTACCAAGTCTAGTGAGCAGAGGTCAGTCCCCAGGACCCAGGTGGTAGAAGGAGAGAACCAACTCTGGAAAGTTGTCCTCTGACCGCCACACATGCTTACATGTATCATGGCGTGTGCGCATGCAGACACATAAATAAATGTAATTTTAAAAATTATTAGCTAAGGTTTGTAGGCTTATCTTGTGACAGAGTAAGGAGAATTGAAGAGTTATGGGAAAATGGCATCTGATTTTATAGACCACGGTGCTTTCTGATTCATCAGGAACATCTCATCAGTTGCAAATCCAGAATTGTGCCATCGAGGCTGGGAGCACAGCACTAAAATACTACAGGTGACAACAGACTGGGAGGGCCAGTGGGGCCTCGAATGGCTGTACCTGCTGGGTGCTGAGGGAGGTACACAGAGAGCAGATGGCCTCGGCATCCTCCTGGGTTTTCTTCTTCAACTGCAGGAGCTGGGCTGCCTGGATCAGAGGTTCCATAGTCTGAACTCCTCCGCTCTGTTGAAGGTTTCTTCCCCGAAGCCACTCTTCAAGTTGACTTATATTGTACCTTAGTCACAGGTAAAAAGTGAGCTGTGTTAAGCCCTAATTCACGGGATGAGGATATCTGCTGGGATTTGCAGGTGAGGTGCCACCGCTACCCTCATCTTAATCATTTCATATGGCTAAAAGCTTGCAAAGTAGGGTATGGGGATAGCACAGCTGGTAAAATGCTTGTCTTGCAAGCATGAAGACCTGAGTCTGAGCTTCAGAACCCATGTTTTAAAAAAAGCTGGATGCCAGGCATGGTGGTGCATGCCTGTAATCCCAGCACTTGGGAGGCAGAGGCAGGTGGATTACTGTTGAGTTGAAGGCCAACCTGATCTACATAGTGAGTTCCAGGCCAGCTGGAGCTATAGGGAGACCCTGTTTCAAACACACACACACACACACACACACACACACACACACAAAAAAGCTATGCTTTTTGTGTGTGCCACCTGCATTCCAGCGCTGGGGAAGCAGAGACAGGTGGATTCCTGGGCCTTATTGTCCAGCCAGCCCAGCCTACTCAGTGAGATACCTGACATGTCTTCTGGCCTGCACATATACATGTTTAAAAAAAAATCTTGAAAGTGTTTAGCATTCAGTAACCATATATTGAGTGAAGACTGGCTGATGAATGAAAGAAAAATGAATGTGTCTATATAAATTAACAGGGCGAGGGAGTCATTAAACACACTGAATTAAAAATTTATATTTAACATACCCAAACATATTTATACTTCAGAGTATTGGTAACTCAAAATCCATTTCTCTCACTGACTTAGTCACATTGCATTTAATCTTTGAATCTGTGTATGTTAACATCTTTAAGCTCTGTACTAATTTGTTTACTAGGTTACCGTTTCAGTTGGGTGAATTACACTGACCAATAAAAAGGTGATGGATTTGAGTCACATGCTGACTGTAATGAGCTATATCAGTTGGATGTGGATCTCACTTTACAGGCAACTGTCTTGTATTCTGACCCTAGCTAGTGTTGGGGGCCATGGACTCCATGTGTTGGAGTGAGGTTCCTCTCTCACCTGAGTTGCATGCCCGTGCTCCATGAGCAGACATCCTTCCGCAGTAGGAGGTTGTTAAGAGTCACAGCATTGATCATGTAGAAGAGTTGTTTGAACACCTGAAGGATAATCTCAGGATCTAGGCCCTGGTCACACATGATCGTATGAAAGGAGTTCATCTGGCGGATGATGGCCTCCAGGCAGTATGAGTTCTCCCCATCCACCATGCTGGAAGAGCGCTTCCGGTAGCCGGTTGGCTTCACACCAGACAGCCCCTGGATACTCTCATTTTCCAACATGGCAGAGACTGAAAGGAAAGCATGGTTAGAGAAGATTGCATGTTTTCCCTAAACAAGCTGTTGTGGGCCACTCAGATCAATGAAACCATCCAGAAGTATACAGCACATGTAGGAACCACATACATCTGGCAAAGAATTTCTAATATGTCAGGTCTCCATATCTAACAAAACATCTATGGAGCAAATTTTCACATAAATTTATTGGTGACAGGACAAAGATAATAGATGCATGCCAAGTTTTCATAGTTGTATTATGTCTGTCAAGAGTCTAGAGTTTAAGAATTGAATCAGCTCAAGTAGAGTCCTGGCCCAGCCGCTGACGGTATAATTTACTATGAGGTTAGTTGGTCTGACATCTTTACTAAGCAGCATTTATCTGTGTACAGGAGCTTTATGTTCACTGTCTCTTTTAACCATCCAGCAGCCCTATGAGACACTGCTCATTTTACCAATGAGGCAATTGAGGCACAAAGAGGCTAAATCATTTGCCTACAGGAATGCTGCTAGGAAGTGGCAGCACTAGGCTCTGAACCCAGGTCTGACTGACTCCTGCATGGTCCTTTCAACCATCATATTACTCTGAGTTCTGGAATATCTCCCCTTTGTTGTTTTGCTATGTCAGTTCTTCTTCTGTATGGCGGCTTAAGAGAAGACCGGATATGAGGGAGGATTTGGTGTGAACTTGATCCCAAGAGCTAGCCTTCTGGATTGGTCCTTGGAATCCACTCATAAGACATTCATGTTGTGAGAACCTAGAGAAGGCATTACATGCAGGTCCAGGTTCAATTTCTTCCTCAGCCTCAGCTGTGAGTAAAACACAGATGTTGCTTTTCTGTTAACTTAGAAAACCCCTGTTTTTCAATGCTGACTTCATGCTCAGCACTCAAGTGTGCTCACTGCTTTGTGCAAATTGACTAAGTATAATTGCCCGAGTGCTTCCTGCTGGGTTCTTCATGAGCATAAACATAACTCTTTAATGAATGAGGGGCATCACTGGCAAGAGGGTATTGTTTTTAATGTATGTGCATTTATATCTTTACATTATTTACTGAAATTCATCTGTTGTGGAAAAATAACATGTTACAGAAAAAGAGATCAAGGAGAGATCACCTTGCTATGCTAGCTAGCATTATGCATTTTTATAGTGTGTTGCTGAAAGTTTCTCACATCTCAGGCATGTTGTGTGCACCTCCTTGGGCCTTTCACAGGATGGCCCTGGCTTTGTGGAGGCCATGGCTGATACATCTGATTCCCAAGGGCAGGAAGAGCTTACCACAGCCACTCCTGCTTCCAGATCCCAAGATGTGTGTGGGAGACCTTCAGTGCCAGCTTACCTATCATAGGCTGCAACAAGCCCTCAGCGATTTTAATGAGCTGCTGATAGATCTGAATGGAGAGGTCACTTAGCACCTGACGGTATTCGGTGAGGTCAAAGTTCTTGAGACAGTGTTCATTCTGCTTTGCGGTATTCTGCGTCATGAAGCCCTGCAGAGGAGGAGTGTACATTACTGAGGATCTGAGGTCTTCTGGGCTCCACACAATGTCTGGAGCTTGGGGCACTTTAACAATCTCCTATTTGTAGGGGCCCTACTCAGGCCCTCCCAATGTATATGATGTTCTTGAGGCCTTTGGATGGCCCTTGAAGGTAGTAAAAAACTCCCCATGACAGAGGAGTCAGAACTGTGTAATTTAAAAGGCCTAAATCATTTAGTCTAGATCCTCAAAACCAACCAATATCTGTAAAGCAATAAGAGTCAGGAAAAAGAGATGGAAAAAGAGGAATCCAGCTTTCTGACTGTTGTCCTGAGCGTATATGGAGGCCCTATAGGAGTATGACATGGGCCTGATTCTACTTGCATGAGACATTTCATATGGATTCTGTCACTGCGCATGAGTTCATAGATGAACTGAAATGGCAGCAATAGTGCTGGCCTCTCAGCTTTGTGCAGTAAGATGGACATGTAAGCACTAATGTCAGAAGGACTGTCACGTCTTTTCACTTTTTAAAAATATTTTATTTATTATTATTATTTTTTATTTTATGTGTATGAGTATAATACCTACATGTAGGCAGGTGCACCCTTGTGCAATGCCCACAATGTCAGAAGAGGGCTTTGGATCCCCTGGAACTGGACTTACAGACGGGCCTGCATGTGTGTTAGTGCACCCGTGTTGTGCAATGCCCGCAGAGGACAGAAGAGACCATCAGATCCTGTCTTTTTACTTTTATCTGTGTTCTGAGACAGGGTCTTGCTATGAAATCCAGGGTGGCCTCAAACTTACACAAGCTCCTCCTGCTTCAGCTTTCCAATTGCTGGGATTATAGACAAATGCCTCTGAATCCAGCTCCAATGTCCTTTTTATTTAGGCTAAGGAATATCAAGAGCAGCCAAGAAGGATCAATAATTTCAAAACAGCAGCCAACCCCAGCACAACCTCTTGCCCTATGCCAAATTAAAAGCAATTTTAATAAAACAAAAGTAGGCAGATGAGGGAGCGACTGTGATTGCTCAGAGACACAGTCTTTCATTCTCCCTTGTTATTTAGACTATACAGGCCCAGCTGTACTGTGGTTCTTATCCCTGAGAATATAAGCACGTGGAGCAGCCTAAGGTCACGGAGTCCTTAGTCTGAGCTCCTTATATAAAGCTCTATTAGAATACAGGAAACACTGGTTAATGCTGTCAACTTGACAAAAATGTAGAATCACTGGGAGATAGGCCTCTGCGCATGCCTGTGGGGGATTTTTTAAATCTGGGTTAATTGTAGTAAGACCCACCCTGAATGTGGGTGGCTCCAGTTTCATGGGCTGAACCCTGTACTGAATGAAAAGAGGAGCTTGAGCAGCACGCATGCATGTATCCCTGGCTCTCTGCTTCTCTACTGTGGATGTGATGTGACCAGCTGCTTCAGGGTCCCTTCACCTTGACTTCCTGCAATGACGGACTTGTGACCTGGAATTGTGAGCCAATAAACTTTCTCCCGTAAGTTGTTTTTGTTAGGATATTTTGTCACAGCAACAGGAAAGGAAACTAAGACTCAGGATAAGGTAATGAACCTTGATGAAATAACATTAAATGTTCTATGTGAAGAGCTTATATATTTTTTTGTTGAGGATAGAAGCATCTGGTTTGAAGGAAAGGGCATTTCTTCTACCTTTATGCCTCCTCATAGTAAAGGCAGGTACCCACACTGAAATTCTGATTCTTGGGAGGGAGGTGGGTCAAGCTACATTCCTAAAATGGCTGGGGAGGCAGATCCTTTTATTGCCTCAGGGAGAGGCGTGTCAAAATGTGTTTTGGCTCAAAAGATGGAATAAAATTTTCAGTATTGTTGCACTATTTTCAGTTTTGCTACATCTTGGCTCCAGGTAGGGTGAGATATGTGAAAGAAAGGACAAGGTAAAGTTACTTGTGGGGATATGGGAGGGGGCAGGCCTGGAACCAGTGAGATTCTCACTGGGGAAACTGGAGATAAAGTACATGTATGTTCCTAGGTCTTGGGGCTGAAGGCAAGGCATGAAAGAAGGTCATCCCGTCTATGCTGAGTTCCAGATAGGGCTGTATTTAAGAGGTCCAGGGTAGAACATAAAATGCTAGTGTCAGTTGGGTCTCAGGTCAACAAATCAAATTAGGTGAAGTATGAAGTTGGGTCTCAGGGTTCGTTTGTTCCTATACAGTTCTGACAGTTGATACCTCTCTTCTTGTGGCCACTTATATCCTGGAATGGACAGACTAACCAGTTGGCTTAGGAGACAGCATGGTACATTAGACAACAGCTTTCTTGCCTTCTCTAGGATAGCTTCAGATATGTACAGACACAGGACCCCTGGAGAAGCCAAGGGACTTCCTGGCACTGGATGTCAGAAAGACTTGAAGCTCAGGTCTCCTGTACCCCGACCCAGCCACACCTGAACTGTAAATGGACAAAGTGGGGCCCACTTCTGGGTACTTCTATCTCACTTACCTCATCCCCACTGTACTGCTTCAAACAATGAAGGAGGCGGCAGGTATTGGATAACCAGAACGATGTCATCTCAAAGTCGTCATTGTGCTTCTGTGGAGAAAATGCACCCCTGACACTGAGTGTTTTGCAGTGGGTGACATTCTCACTTGGTGCCTCATTTTCCAGGCTTCCCATCTTACCCAGTATTCCCGAGCAGACCTACTGATAGCCAATCCACTTGCCAGTCACAGAGAGAATACCCCTTGTGAGAGGCTGTGTTGCTGTTCCTTCATTACCTGAGATGGTATATATAAAATCATTCCATGGTCCCCTGATCAGTGATGCATGCACAGGGACACATAGGAACAACAGGCTGTTCCCCATAGCTTAAGAAGGTGAAGGCAGGTGGCACAGATTGAAGTTCATCCCCAACAGCTCCGGGCTCTAGTCTAGTCTGAAGCATGGACTGGATGACCCAGATTCTGAACTACCAGCTATCCAACACAAGGGATACTAGGGGACAAGACAGTCAAGTATTCTGGTGTCCTACTGATCTAGAAGTCAGATGCTCAGTGGAAAGAAACTAAGTGACAGAGGTTGCTTAGTCACCCATACACAACTATGATTCATTCAATTTCTACACTACAACCACTGACTTTATGGAGCCCATTTTGTAAGATGTCATCATTATTTAAATTTCAGGAAGTAGTGTGAACTGTGACAATAAAATAGGGTGGCTGAATTCATGGGCTGTGGGGCTAGAGCAGGCTAATTTAGCTTACAATTACAGAATACTTCCCCAAGGAAGTGACATTTGAAGCCCTAGGCTGGCCTAGATGTCAACTGGAGCTCAAGGCCAGATACACAAATTTGAGAGTGACCAGCATGTGAAGGATAGAGTTCAGGGCTATGAGTGGCTAACACTGTGTACAGAGCTTGTGGCAGGGAAGGCTGGGCAACTGCCAAGGTGCACAGCCAGAAGCTGAAGGCTGGTTTGGTATTCTCTGAGCAGGGACTACAGACTTACTGTACCAGAACTTGTCTGGCCATAGTACTGCTGAGGCTGGCTTGTCTTCTGAAAGTGGGGATGTAGGGGAAAACTGAGTCAGCCTTTGAGAGCAGTGACACCTGGAACTGTCACTGAGAGCTAATCTTTCTCTAATCCTAGCTCCCCCCACCACCACCTTTCTTGGGTAGGCCTTAACCCTGTACAGGGTAGGTAGTGACTGAAGCAGTTGCCATTCAGAAAGAGCCTTTTGCCTTCAGGTGATATTCTGTGACCTCTGTGAGCAGCCCTGGCCTTGCCCAGGTTGCCTTACATTGTAAGCTGATGAGTGGTGGAGGTTCTTCCTGCGCCACCGCTCTGAGCAGCAGGTACCCAACCCCTTGGAAAGGTGGGAGTGTACATGGATTCCTGAACTAAGCTCAATGTGGCCATCTCCCTAGCATCTATGGAAGTGGGCTGCCATGCCTTCCATAAACGGAGAGGTGGCTGGAGGCCCACACTGGAGTTCTGGGCTTCTTGCTATTTCTGAGTCTGAGCATCCTCTTGGGGACTGCTATGCACCTTGGATAGTATAATTAGGATATTGGCATAAACCAGACAAAGAGAAGCAACAGGTGCCAGCTTCTCTCAGATTACTGGGAACTGAAGTCTTCTGCATGGGCTCCTTACCTTCAGGACTTTCTTAATGCCATTGATGGTGGAGGTCAGCAAGGAGTGTACCTTGAGGTCATCATTGGTATAATCCGCGTGCCGGATGCACATGTAGAGGATGTATGCGGGCAGACAGGGCACAGTGCCTGACAGCATCTGGGGCTTCAGGTCTAACAGCAACAACAGCAAGAGTTAGATCTATGGTGATACTCTGGCTGTCAGAATCCTTCCTCCAAATAGAAACACTTGTACTATTTCCCTGCAGCTCATCCAGGAATTCACCTTTCACAGCAGTTGGAACAGAAACAGGAGGGAAACCTCCTAGGATACTTGCTTTTCCAACCCAGCCACCAATAATTGTAGACACTAGTTAAAAAGTTCGAGTACATTCCTAGTTGCTTATATTGAACAATGAAACAGGCTCCTAATGCCTCATCCTACCACATGGAGGGAAAGGATTCACAAGCTACACACTGATGCCATGGTCCTCATTCAAGAATAGGCTGGTGGCTGGAAGCAGGCTTCATCCACTGGGGTGAAAATTCCCGATTCCTTGGCACCTCCACTTCCGACTAGGCACAGCTGGTTTTTGGCAGCCAAAATGTGAAATCTGGCCTCAGGAGAATTTAGTAAAATCATGTTTTCAACAATAAACAGTTGGTCAAGGGCTGGAACAACCTCTGGTTCATGGGGCTGTGATTCTGGGAATGAATGGTCTGACAGCACTTGCTGGGTAGTCTCACAACTGAGCTGATCGAGCTGCCACTGTCACTCTGTTCTCTCCTCAACCTGTTGCTTTCTCCAGCTGTTCGCTTGCAACTTTTTCCACCTGCCTGAGACTGTGACTCTTTATCAACTTCATGCTGATACTCAGCCCCTTGTCCCTGGCCTGCTAAAGCCCCTGGAAAGCTCGGAGAAGCTGTCAGCTTCTATTCCAGAGTGTTCCAGGGAGCTAAGGAACCAGGTTTAAAGCAGTGAGTGATGGCAATCACCCACAGCAGTGGGAAGGATGGTCTGGTGCCGGGTTGAGATGACAGCTGAGAAAGTCCTCAGAGTTTCCTTGTAGCCCTGGCTGCACTCCAGCCCTTTGCTTTCACACTTACTACCCTGTCCAAACCAAGCCCCATGAGCCCTCTAGGCTTGAAACTCACCAATGGGGAGGCCACCCCACTCTCTACCTAGGGTAGGCAGCATCCTCAAGTCTGCCAAGACTGATGGGGTTAGGGTGTGGCTGTGCTGCAGGTGCCTTCAGTTGCTATGTAGGCTACACCATTCTCTCAAATACATTCTTCTAGTCAAGTGTTAACTGCAGGCCATAATATTGTGGATACATGGTTAACATTTTGGCATTTCCTAGGTTCAACAGATGGCTGTAGATTGGCTCTGGACTCTAATTAGAATGCCAGAAACATTTATCCCAGAAAAAATGTTTTATAGATCCACACTTCCAACCTCTAACTTCTTATTTTAAGCTTTACAGACAAGAAGACTTGCCTTAGAATGTTTTATTGTGATTGAACAGGCTTGTCTCAGTTTCCCAGGTAGACATTGGCATCTTAGGGGGTGGGGAATCACTCTACTTTCTTCTCTCCTCTGAATTAACTAGTTAGTGCTAGGTTTCTAATTGGTAGTCCATCCATTTGGATGGCTCTTCTGGAAGGCAGATGATGGTGTGCTTTTTCTTGGTAAGTAGGCAGGAGGCGACTGCCTAGACCCATCTAAGCATTGAAAGTAGGAAGGAACCACTTGTCTCACGCTTATTAACTTATTAAAGTAGAATAGGGTCTTGTTTACCTATTCAGTTAACTCTGATGCTGTGGACTTCATATTTCTTTCATGACAGAGTAAAGGGTTGTTCCTAACAGATGCAGCCTATTTAAAATGAACGTGGGTCATATTTAGCTGTTGGGCAGTTATAGGGCAAAGTAACTTTATAAAGAAATAAGATAGTCATTGGCAGGCTACTAAAAACACCCAAAGCAAACAACCAAAGAACAACCCATTCAAGACAGAAGTCACAGCATTCTTCCTGTACTCTTGGCCTAGGCACAGTGCTCAGCACAGGACCTCACTGACCTGTAATAACTTCCTCTAGAGCAGTGTTTACTCTAACTTGAGCTTAAATGCTCTGGCAGAGGCTGCTGCTTCTGACTTCCTCATTGTGAGAAAACTTTGCAGTCTGCTCAGCTCCTTCACCTTTGCTATATGACACAAGCTGGGGTAGGCAAGGGCAGTCTCACTATCACATTTTACAGATGGGGACACTGGTACCACAGAGAAGAAAGCTAATGGCATGGGTTTAGAGGCTCCAACTCTATCAAAGGGTCTTCCTTTTGTCCAGCAGGACTTTCTCCTCTAATATTTGTCCTCCTTGCTGTACAGGAAGCTACTGGGTTGGACAAAGCAGAAAAGGGAGCTTGCTGAAGGCAGATGGGACTGAGACAGGAGGAGGAGACTGGTGAAGCAGACTGGGGTTAGAGAGGAAAGTGGTTCTCAAGAATCCTGTATGCCACCTCAGAAGGCAGCACCCACTTCTGGCCACAGAAACTATCCAGACATAAGCCTAAGCAACCTGAAAATATGACCCAGACCCCATGAGCATCCATGAAAAGTGACCCCAAGGGGAGTCCCTCTAACTTAATAGGGAAAATATTCCCCTCTCCATAGCTGCAGGGGGTAAAAATTCAGCAGCAGGTATTTCGGTCCTGAGAACCAAGCTAGTGAGGAAGATTCTGCAAAGCAGCTCTCACAGTTGCTCAGTAACTTCGGGACTATATTGGATTCAGTCAGGTTATCCATGACACTACCACATGTCTGGTAAATGTGGGGTAAATGTGGGGACAGCACAGATCAGCTCTGAGGAACTTCCGTGATGGACCTGTGATATCACAGGTGTATGAACTTAGTGCTCCTCAATGAGCACATGAACCACCTGCCTTTATCCCATGTACATCACCCTGTTTCAGGCAGCCTAAAGGGGAGCTTGGATCCTGTGTTTCTAACCCCTTGCCAGGAGTTGCTGATGTTGCTGGTCCAGAGACCACACTGTGAGCCATAGATCATTGACCCTGATCCTCAGAACTTGGTGCTACTGGTATCATATCTTTCCCCACATCACACACAAGAGCAGCAGTCCTTAGCTACATGGCTAGGAAGGAAAGTGGCAAACTTACACATAGGTTATCTGACTCCAGAGGCCACACTCATATGTGCTGAATTACACAGGACTAATAAACTGTAAAGTTCTATACAAACAGAAGGCATTTGAATTCCTGATCTACTATTTATCCCCTGTGTGATCTGGGGAAGTAACTAGAATGATCTTAGTGTTCTCCAATATGAAGTGAGGGTAACATAGTACCTACTAATAGAGATGCTGGGAGAAATACATGGTGAGAAGGGCAGGGCTTTTGGCACAGTCCCTGACAGCAGGATGTGCCCTATAAGCCTAAGCTGCTATTGCCAAAGTACAGTTACCTACACAGAGTCCCAGGGAAAGGACTGCAGCTGCCACTAAGGAGAAGCACAGACAGGAGCCACACTGCATCTTCCCTATTCCACCCACCACTGGCAGAACACAGGCCCCCCTTTCTCGAGTTTAGGCAAGGCTGTAATCCACCGGGAAAAGCAGCAGGTGAATATTAGGAATAGCTAGAGATGGTAGAGAGGACTAGGCAGAACTGGGAGAGATGGGAGCACTGGAGATGGAAATAGGAATGGGTGGAGTGAGAGCCAGCAGGTGGGGTGCCACAGCAGGTTCTGACCTGTCACCAGGTTCCGGATGAGGAGGGCCTCGTCCTCCTTGTGGTACTCCAGCATACCCTGGAAGTCCTTCTCTTTCCGCTGGACCGTGACCTGTCTTGTGAGCTCATGTTGCCGCCTGTCACTCTGAGCCAATGCCTGAGTAGCTGAGTGGGAAATAGATGATGGAAACACAGTAAGCACATGTATCTGAAGGCTACCTGAGGGTGGCCCCTGTCTGAGGACCAGTGCTCTGGGTTCTGGAGCACCCATATTCTATGTAGTCTGCTCCTGAAACCTGAACCTACTCTAGCTAGGGGTTGAGGACTCTGCCACTTAGTTCTGGGGTCCACTGTGGACAAGGGGGAAGAGCACCCCTGAAAGGGCAATGTGCAGGTTTTAGGCCAGAGAAAACTTGAGAAGGGGATGGATGGCAGCAGCACGTTCAGCCTACTCTGCTAACAACTGCTTCTCTCCTCATACCAAGCTGTAAGGAAAGTATACTACCTTTCTAGGAGGATAGCTAGCCAGATCTGTTTTACTCAGAGCCCTGTGTGCACCACAGCATGGCCATCATGACCCCGAGATGCAGGCTGGGCAGGGGAGCAGATGGTTCCAGGGGAGCAGATGGTGCCAGTGGACCAGAAACACTGTTTCTCACACCAAATGTAGATGAGGCTGGGGAACCTACTAAGTACAGACCACACAAACACAATTCTCTGGGAGGAATTTGGTGGTGCCACTGGGGGGGTATCAAGGACTTGTCAAACTTCATTCTGGCCTTTCCGTAGTGGAGTAAGATAGTGGAATCCAATGATTTATCGTCTGCATACTTAGGTGCCTTCAACATGCAGGATACTGTTGTAAGCACAGGACAGATATAAAGTTCCCTAATCTTGCCCCACTAGCCTGGCTCAGGAGATGCATTTGCATGTTTACATGGAAATACAATCTACAATGCATCAGGACCAGCTGCCAGGCCAGGAATGTTCACCTCCTGTGTGACTGATTAGAGGGGAGTTCTGTGTGCATAGACATGCAGAGGACCCCCAGGTGGGAGCTGGGATTTCACTCTGGGGAGGTGAGAAGACAGTGCTGCAAACACAGGCAGAGCCTGGGAAGCTGCACAGTTACCTGAGAATGCACAATGAGGACTGGGGGGGAGGGGGGGCGGGCAGACAGAGAAGCACTGCAGGAGGGGAAGGACAAGCCTTCTGGACTTGGGGAGGTGTTGGAAATCAAGAAACTTCAAGAACAAGAACCTGAGGGTGAGAAGATGAAAAACCCACAGATGGAAGTGCACAGGGACAGGTGTGGGGAGACCTCCTATAGCAGCACTGGCTCTACATCCTGTGATCAGGGCTCTGCCCCACACGCTGTGGCATCAGGGCAGTTTTGGGTATAGCGCCAACCCGGGAGCAGTGGCTTCTGAACTGAGGGCAGAAGGATGAACAGGGGTATCTGTGTGATGAGGGGCCTGGGGGGGTTGCAAGCAGAGTGGCATGTGCTTATAGGCCACATGCAGATTTGCAGCAGCAGTCATAGGAGACAATATTCCCAGGGCGTTCAAAGAGCGATTTAGACCTCTGCCTGCCGTCTGGGTCAGACTAAATCAGAAGTTCAATCCTGACACCTCATGCATGGGGTGAGTGCCCTAGGTCTTTGGGTTACAGTGTTCTTTCACACCAGAAAAACCTTGCCTCCAACTCTATGCCTTTGAAAGGCAGGTACCATCAGGCCTCCTGTGTATCCCACTCCTCCAGCTGATGGAGCCTGGCTCACAGAATGTAGCAAACACCTGCTCAAGATGAGTCTCTGCATGCTGAGAACATGTGAGCTCATGCAGGCTGCATTCTCTTATGACATGGCTGGAGCAGGCATAGCCATCAGGAAACTGGCAAAGTAGGCAGTGGGCTGAAAGGCAGGCAGCTGAGTCCCACAGGTGTGGCCAGGGACACCTCTGCCTCACAAGATGCACACTACCTTCTAAGTCCTGGACTTTCTTCATGTAAATCTTCAGCTGCTTTTTTAGCTTCTTCTCATTCTTTTCCAGCTTTTCTACCAGTTCTTTAAGGTCCTGAAAGCAGAAGGAAAACAGATGTGAGCCCCACCCTGGACAGAAGGTAAAAACTTACCAGGAGCAAAGGAACCCAGGGAGGATGAGGAACCCAGCTCTGGCAGGGCCAGAAGGGCCACCTCACACAGGCTCAGCCTCTGCTCCAGAGCCCAGGAAGCAGATGGTGAGTCAGAGTTCATTCTCTCAGTAACAACAGGGCAAACTCCTCCCAGGCCAAATTCCTCCCATAGGGGCACTCTGGCGCCATGTGGAATCCCAGGCCTCCTTAGGTTGCCATGTCAATCCTCAGGGGATATCCAGCCTAGATGTCCAGGGGAAAGGTGGGCAGCACTCTGGGTGGAGGTGTGGGAAGGTAGGCACATAGCTGGAAGGACCAGCAAGGTTACCTGGGACCAGAAGCAACCAGGACAGTGGCTGTGGCCCCATTCCCTGACAACTGTTGCCACTGGAAGCAAGTCAGTCCATTGGGACCCAGAACAGCAAGCTGTTTGAGGAAGGACTTTGCTATTTATTGTCATCCTGATCCAGATGGGCAGTGGTTCTTTGTGGTAGGAGAGGTGGAGAGGAGAGGAGCCCTGCTCTTTCAGTACTAGGAGTAATGGAGAAGAGAGGAGCAAACAGTCCACCCTGAAAACTCAAAAATTTGGGTATACCTCATCCCTTACCCTCCCCTCATGTGTGTGTGTGTGTGTGTGTGTTGCTGGGTAAAAATCCCAGAGCCAGCCGGGCGTGGTGGCACACACCTTTAATCCCAGCACTCGGGAGGCAGAGGCAGAGGCAGGCAGATCTCTGCGAGTTCAAGGCCAGCCTGGTCTACATAGTGAGTTCCAGGATAGC